CACTGGGCTTGCCCCTCTACAGATCTGAACTGTAACTTGGCCTGGTCACGTCACCAGATCAAATAAGTTTAACCCTTTCAGACCGACGGTATTACATCTTATATAACCGCGCATTTCCATCCATAAAAGATAGAAACTTAGATAGAGCATATTTCTATCATTATCCTACATCACACGCTACGTAATGAACGAGTGTCCAACAGGAATTTAGTTTTCCACCAAAAGCATGCGCTCCATCCATTCTGATTGGCCCAAACTTTGCCAAAGAGTGTAGTGAGTCAAGATGGTCGACTGCTCTGAGCGTCTGTGTTCGTAGCAATTGAAAAAGCCGCTCTAAGTGCAGTTACTTCTCAAATAAATGGCAAATTAGGCATCTTAGTCTGCGTAATTGTGCATCCTTTGTTATTTTTATTTGAAAGGTTTATGTCAGTCCAAATGTACAGATCCAAATGTAATAAACACCATGGAAATGCAGGAAGTGATGTGGCTCTGCACTGGCCCTGACAAAAGTTGGTTCCATGACTGGCACTTTTTTTTTTGTTTTGTTTTCATTTTGCTTACAGACTTGATATGTTGCACTTTTGTAGCTAAGGCCCTAAAATAAGCTTTTTTATGCCCAAAAAGTTGTTTATACATGTTTGCTGTGTGTTTTGTATGAAAGAGTGTGAATTTTATTTTCTTTTTTTTTTTTTTCTTCTTCTTCTTCATTTGTATTTCTGGTCCTATAGCTTTTATTACAGCCATATATTACAACTACAGTATGCAGATTGTGAAATAACAGGTTGTACTGAAAAAAAATATGTATAACACTTCATTAGGGGGTAAAAGGGGGAGTTTTAAACGCAAAATTAAGAAACAAATCCAGGCGAGGACAAAAGTACTAAAATTTCCCTTAGGTCTGAAAGGGTTAATGCTGTATGATATAACAAGAAATGTTATAAAACCTCCATAGATACAAGCAAATGGCACACCCTCTACCATAAAGTTACATAATGCAGCTTTAAACTCCATACACCTTCACTAGAATCATAAAAATGCAGCTGTTAACTTGAGAACTACAGCTTCATGACATCGTGAGGTGGAAGAGAGCATTTTGAGCTTTGGAAATAGAGAAACCAATAATAAAGAATTACTCAAAACACAACTCCAGGTATGTTTTTGAGAAGGTAGCAACATTCTACCATGGCTAAAACCTCACAAGAATCCATTTTGCGTCACATAGGAGCTTTAATTGCATTCCAGTATCTTGGCGTGCCATTGGAGCGATGGCGTTTCCCTGCACTGGCTACACGCATGGTGGCTAGACTTGTGTTTGCATCTCTCTGTGGCTGCCTGTCACATTGTTTAAGCCCATAGCCCGGTGGAGAAATGCTAAGTTTGACAGCTCTCCTCTTTAGCGCATGTGAACGGCGCGCTGAGGCCAATAGGAGGCGACGTAGCGCTCATGGTCCCGGTCGTGCCAAAGCGAGCTCCCAGTCAGAGCGAGCCCCGCAGGGATGGAAATCTGAGCCTGTCATCTCGCGCTACGGATTCGCAATTATGTAATGTTAAGAGGAGCGCATTACGAGGGCGTTCTGTGGTGCTGCTAAGGCTGGAAGGTAAAAAGACTGTAACTATAAAGGTTAGAAAGGTGTAAGGAGAAAGTTTGGAAATGCCAAATGCAGAGATGCTGCTGTTTGTTTAGCCCGCAGAGAGATCTTGAGCTGACGACGCTGTGTGTGTTTGTCGTCTCTATGGAGTCTAGAAATTGTCATTGATGTCTCAAAGCTTTAGAGAGGCAAATTAATATTATATTGTCACTCCTCATGGGTTATATATATAGAGAGATTTTTTTTACAGGTATTTAGACTAGAACACTTATCTAGTGACAGTAGTTTAAAAACATTTCAGAAAATGCCAAATAAATATATATTTTTTCACTTTTTTGAATATAAATTAGGTATACTACCACCTCTGCTACTTCCAGAAGTGGGACCATGTCGTTTTGAAAGTCTTAAGTAAGTCTCAAGTCTTTAACCTCAAGCCCGAGTCAAGTCCCAAGTCAAATACAGGCAAGTCCAAGTCAAGCTTCAAGTCATTTCAAGTCTTTAAACCAAAGTAATAAATATAGCTTCCATTTTCTAAATTGTACTTAAAAAGTTCTGGTATAATTATGTATGTGTATTTATATAAGAGTTATAGAAATGCAAATTTTTCCTTTTTAAATGTCTTGACAAGATCTTAGTGTGAATCCTTATCATCACAATAGAAAGAATTCAGATTAAAAAGTGCTTAATAACAGTTTTTTTTGTCATGTAGTCTGCACTGAAATGGAAGGATCATGTTCTATAGTTCCCTCTGTTTTACTGTATTGTACTATATTATAGTATATTACTGTAGTACTGTAGGATATCATCTCACAGTACTTCAGCTCCATCCAAAGTAACAAAAAGAGAAGTGGGAGAACCATATTCCAGTTTGTTCCTGTAAAAATAACACCACATGTATCAACTGTAAAGCCTAAAATATTTTCTGAAAACGTATATATATATTTTTAAAAAAAGCATCAAGTCTTCCCAAGTCGAGTCCCAAGTCATTGTCCATTTTATCAAGTCAAGTCTCAAATCCTAAAAATAGTGACTCAAGTCTCACTCTTGATTTATTCAGCTACAGATGTTTTTTATTGTTCAAAAATACCCTGAAGAACATCCATTCATTCTGTAAAATATTGCAAGAAAATTCTATGTCATTTTGACTCTTTGACATCGTTGAAAATAAGAGAGAGGATCAGGGATGAGACTGGGGCACGCAACTTTTTTCTGAGTATATTGTAACAGCATGACTTAGAATGACAAATCCAGACTGCCGAGTACTGTCTCCATCTACTTTCAAAAACTTTTATTAATTGCAAAACGGTAATAAAGAGCCTTCATGTTGCCATATTTCGTTGTGAGATTAGAGATTTTCTAAAGTGCATTTGCCCGAAAATCCATGCATGTGAATACTTGCGAAATGGTCTGTGAGAACTCGAAACAAGGCTGACTAACGACTAACTTCTGCAAATGGGCCTTAGCTTTGTAAAAACGTCCTAAAGGTCAAAACTAAAAACACAAAGTTTTCTTGCACTACCACGAAGCCACATGAAAGCACCACATTAAGCTAAATCTGCATATTATAAAGTATAAAGTACATCAAAAACATAAACACACTTTCATTCAAACTACCTTTTCATGACTGGATTTTTATGTTCCGCATTATGTTCCATTATATAATTCACTTTACAGTTTTAAAAGTCTTTCTGAGTGGACTGTAGCGAGCGGAAGCGTTTTCTGGTTTTGCCATTTTGTGTTTTTTCTTTTTTTTTTCTTTTTCAAAGACAACAGGCACCGGCTCGGGCTAATTTTAGACACAGGGAGGCTCTGACCTTTCATTCGGACGATGTGGAGAGTTTCTTGGGAGAATGGTCACTGTTTTGACAAAAGAAGGAACATTACAGAAGAGCGAGCAGCACTGGCAGCAAGGGCACACAGAAGAATACAGGAACTTTGAGTCATCGGTTTTATGACATTAACACATACAATAATAGTAATATTCAAACCTAAATATGACACATCAATAAACAGCTTAAACTCAACAAAAATAAAATAGAAAATATTAAATGATAAATATAAAAAACTGTGATAAACAAATGAATTGACATCTTCCTTAAAGGAGTGTTCTTTCATTCACATATTCTGAGTAATACTGCATTATTAGACTTTTTGCTTGGTCGAAAATAGATATATCAGGGCTGAACCTATCCAAATGATTCTAAAGAAGGTGTATGGAGTTTAAAAACACAGTGGAGCACTTCATGCAACAGATTGTTTTCTGTTTGAGAAGCTACGTTTATATGATGACGGTCTGAACAGAAGACGCAAAAGTGGCGTTGCATCTTCACTTTTTATTCCGTGTTTAGAGAAAGTGTGTGGAATTTGATCGGGTATGCATGCCAGGCAGCGAGGTGGTGACGCTCGGTGATGATGTATGTGACGTAAACACGTACGCGACGTGAGCAGATCTGACCACAGTTGGGCAGCATAGACTGAAACGCTACAGCAGAGCATCTTCAACTTCTCCACTCTGAAGGGTGGTTTCAGATTTTTGCATTTTAAGCTCCAAAAACGCTGTCACCGTCTAAACGAAAGGCACGTCCGATAAAATATTTTGTCCTGTTTACCTGCAAGTGTTCTCGTGTAAACAGACCCTCAGCTACATTCTTGATCAAAATCACTACATTTGAAGCTTTAATTGTTCAAAAAAACCTCTGCAAAGTACTTTAACTTTTTACTCTTAAAGTCCATTTTTAAAGAGGTACTTTAAGAGTTTTACTTAAGTAGATTTTTTCATGTGATACTTTTACTTTTACTTCAGTAATATTGCCCCTGTATCTAAAATATTTTGTCATTTTTACCTGCAAGCGTTCTCATGGAAAAAGGCCCTAAGTCAGGTTAAATATGTAAGTGATTTCACTTTAGTCTAAACCCCTTTGGTCATAGTTTTATGTGAAATGTTAGTAATAGTCTATTAAGTATGTGATTAAGTACATGACTGAAGAAAATAAACTACGACTATTACTACTTCTACTACTACTAGGATTTGTGTGTGAAAAATATGTGAATGATACAAAACACAACTCCAGGCCTGTTTGTGATGAGGAAACAATATTCTAACATAGATCAGAAAATGGACCCTTTGTAAGCTCGTAACAGAAGGAAACATTTTTTTCTCTCGAATGAATACTGGACCCGCTCTTCATTGATGACTCAAGGGTCCCTGGGAGTTCGCCACAGTCCACATTGTGCTTTGTGGATCAGGAGGAGACTTTTGACCCCGTCCCTTGTGTGCTGTGAGCGGCGCTCCGGGAGTCTGCTGAGGGCTGAGCGCTCCCTGTGTGACTGGAGCTGGAGCTGTGTTCTCTGGAGTGACTCACATCTGTCCCCAGAGCATGTTGGACTCCTCCAGACCTGCCCTTCTGCTGTGTCCATTGTGTCTCAGGCTCGTGTGTACGTGTGGGGTATAAATGCCCACTTGGATTCCATCTTCTCTTTAAGTCGGCTTGGGACCTGCACCAAGAAAACACTGAGTTACCTTCTGTTTGACTTTGAATTCATCATTTCTTTGCATCATTTTAAATTGTTATTTGTCATGCTTTGCATGCACATCTATGGTGAAATATCCAGCTGGTAACTGCGGAGCATTTCACCATCTTAGCAAATGTGATAACAGTCTTAAAGCTCAAGAAAAAAACAAAAAACAAAATGGATTTAAACAGTACATTTTCAAGAGCCTGTGATTATTACGAGCGTTCATGGTCCATTTAGGTGTTCAGAATGTTATCTGAGAAGAGCCAAAATCAGGTCACCTCTCGTACACTCCAAAAAGTAATATCTGTGTCAGTTAAAATGACTTAAATTAAGAGCATTTTGCTTTATTTGAGTAGATTCAACTTAACAAATAAAATGATCTGCCAGTGGAATAAGTATGTTTTCCTTAATTCAAGCAGCATTAGATTTAGTTTCTTATTTTAAGTGCAAAGAGTTGCTGTTTTTCTGTAGTACGATGCATTTTCATATTTTAAGTACTAAAAGTCTTATTCCATTGGTGGATATTTCATTTTTAACCAGCGACTAAGTCAGTAATGGGAATACACTAGACGGTTTGCAAGAACCCTGGAAGTTGTAGACCGCACACCGGCCAATCAGCAAAGAGCTGTGAAGCCATGATGTCAAACTCATGTGCCTGTCTGGGTCCCTTTTGTGGTACAGCACAACAATAAACAAAGTGGTCTAGATGGATGCAGACGAAGACATAGATTCTGTGTTGTCAACAATTCCCGAGATCGAGCATTTAAAGCCGGAACAAAGAGAATGTTTGGTCAATTTTATTAAGGGGAAAGACCTTATTGTCCTTTTTCCTATGGGATTTGGAGCATTACATACATCATGACCAAATAGCAGTGATTGGTTAAATGAAAAAAGTACCTGCTGCGAGGTCAGACGGTTTCCACGAAGTGAAACCGGCTGATGAATCAGACTAGGATCATTTTACTTGTCAAGCAAAATTTACATTAAACTCTCTCCTTTTTTCAAGTAAACTTAACTTGGCCTGAGTTTAGTTTTTGCTGTTTAGTTCCAGCAAAGACTGTACTTTCTAGTCAGATTATGTTAAAACAAAACTCAGATTAACGTCTAAAGTCTTGAGGAACAGAACTTCAGACAGAGCAGTGCTTCCATTTCCCAGCACACCACCGGGAAACGTTGACACCATCAGCTGTAAAGTCTCAATAACTGATCACACATCCAACAACACACCGAGCATGTTTTTATTGCACCTTTTATCGTTATGCTCCTTTCAGTCGTCAAATAAAACTCACTTGGAGCTTAATGAATGTTGTACGGTGCAAAAACTTTACAGTAAAGATGGTGGGAGGGTCCAGTCCAATTTTTTTTTTTGGCATTTTATAACACCAGCTTGGTACTTAGCACTGCTGGGTGAAGATGTAGCCTGATAAAATACTCTATTTTGTTTCTTAAAAGTGCAATACGCAGCTTTTCTGGTGGAGGGTCCACTGCTTCTTGTCTCCATGGAGATGTTCTTGCTTTGCCTGGAATGATCAACATATCCATCTAGCGTTCATTCATTACGGGAGTTTCTGTTGCCTAAAAATACAAAAAATCCTGCTGTGAATAGGGGTGAATCTCCACAGATCTGAACTGTATTCCTCGTGGTAGATCGGTTTAATCTATACTCTGGAACATTCTAGACAAAACAATAATATTTCCATAGTGACAAGCAGATGGGGGACCTTTAAGTAAAAGTACAAGAAAAAAAACAAGTAAAAATAAAAGCATCACAAAAAAAAGATAATAAAAAAAAGAAATAAAGATTTGTGTTGAATTTTGTTCATCATAAACAACTGAATTGCTTTTATCAACTCTAGCTGTTTTTATTTGTTTATTTATTGATATATTTCTGTTTGCTCAAAATACAAATGTGTTAAAAATAAACCTTCAGACTTTCAGCAGGTCTAAAACAATCATAAAAATACTACTTACTACTACTTACTTTTCAGTCCAAATCTAAAACATAGTAAAGTAGAAAGTACAGATACCTGCTCTCAAATGTAGCGAAGTAAAAGTAAAAAGTATCCACTGTAAAATGTACTTCAGTAAAGCACAGACGCCTAAAATGTATACTTAAGCACAGTACTTTACTACTTTTACTTCATTATGCTCCACCACTGAAGTATTTCTTTGGTACTTCGTGAACCATGGACAAGTTGCAGAAAGTCCATTTGTTTTGTTTGTATATCTGAGGTACAAGTACACACACACAAAAAAAGTGAAAGTATGCGTTGTTATGACGGCAGGTGCACCCATCTCTTCCACACAGACTGATATTGATTTTTTATTTTTATTTTTTTCTTTTACAAATCCACATGAGCCAAAAGCGGCTCTTCTTCCTCTTCTTCTCTGGCTCCGGTTTGACAGATTGGCAGACACAAAATAGCTCTGTCGTAAACAACATGGGTGCGCTATAAAAATGGATAAAAATAAATACATAACAGTTTGAAAACTTTATCACTTGCAATAAACATGAGGAGTTTTGGAAAGTAAATTGTAAACTGTAATCTCTATTTAAGATAATGTTATGCAATATTATGAAAATGTACTGTGATACTTCCTAATCTTGTGGAAAACAGTAACATTTTTAATAAAAGTCTTTGGTGAAATATTGTAAACATCCTATATCCACTGAAGAACTGACCCTACAAGAAAGACATCCACTAGTACAAAGCGAATTTTGAGCAGGCCTGTCATGATAATTAGTATTTTGGCAATATTTATGTACATTGTCTTTGCAGTAGTGGGAGATTTTCGTCATTTTTATGTAAAGCGATAAGATTTGAGGTTGAATAAATAACTTCTATAGCTAATTATTGCTTCATTCCGCTGTTTATTTGTTGCAGCTCAGGTCTTTTTAAAATGGTTTACTGGAATTTTCTTGCATTATTGTTATTGTCTCAGTGCCATAAAGTACTTTCAGTATTGTTGTTTATCGCAGTATATCTCTGGAGATTCAAAATTTGTTATCGTGACAGGCCTAGTTTTCCAATCCAATCCAACAAAGCAGTTTCCAAAGCGCTTCACGTAAAACTCTTAACTCTAAAAAGTCAAAAGAATTATGTTCCAAACAAAAGGAAGAAATAGAATCAATAGATAAAAAAAAATAATAATAAAATCAATGAAAACAAATAATAAAATCAACAAATAAAGGCATTACTAAAGAAAAATGTATTGATTAAAAAAAATACATAAAAAAAGATACATAGTTCCACATAATTAAAAGCCACAGAATAAAAATCTTGACATAAGGCAACAGATAACTTAATCCCATACATTTTGAACTAAGCATTTGCAATTTCAACTTGGGAATTAAGATACTGTAACAAGTTCTCTCTACTTCATTTATTTTCTCTAAAATACTGTGTTTGGATCGAAGTAAAATATACACACTGATTCAAGGTAAAACCATCGCAACAACATCAGGAAAAATCAATACATTTTAAAACATTACTTGAGGAAAACTACAAATTTTGTGTGGTTTATTTTATTAATTTGAGATTTTCAACTTGAAGTGCTTCTACAGCTGCTACTGCAACTAGTGCTACCTCTGCTACTACTACTACTACTTCTACTGCTACTACTACTACTATAATTACTACTACCACTACCGCTGCTGCTACTACTGCTACCGCTACTACTACTACAACTACTGCTACCACTATTGCTGCAACTGCTACCGCTACTGCTACTACTACTACTACTACTACATTGACCTGCCTCAGGGGTCAATCCTGGGCCCCCTGTTGTTCAATCTCTACATGCTGCCATTAGGCCAGTTAATAAGCAGCAATACGTGTCGTACACAATTATGCAGATGACACTCAGATCTACGTCTCTCTGGCAGCAGGAGACTATGGACCAGTGGAGTCACTTGGTCACTGCATCCAACAGATCAGTGTGTGGATGCAAAACAACTTTCTCCAGCTAAACTCTGACAAGACTGAAGTCATAGTGTTTGGTCCACAGAAAACAAAGGGACAGTGTCAGCAGTCACCTCCAGTCTCTCGCTCTAAAAACCTTCAAATCAGCAAGAAACTAGGGGTAATAATGGACTCAGACTTGAACTAACAGTCACATAAAATCAATAACATCTGCAGCCTTTTACCATCTAAAAAAACATACAAAAATCAAAAGGTTTACTGTCTAAAAGCAGACTTGGAGAAACTTATCCATGCATTTGTCTCCAGTAGGTTAGACTACTGTAATGGTCTGCTCACTGGTCTCTCCAAACGAGCTGTGAGACAGCTGCAGAACATCCAGAACGCTGCAGCTCGGGTCCTTACTCGAACTAGGAAGTACGAGCACATAAGTCCTGTGCTCAGGTCTCTGCACTGCTTCCTGTGCCTCAGAGAATAGACTTTAAAGCAGCTCTGCTTGTGTACAAGTCTCTCCATGGCCGAGCACCAAAGTACATCTGTGACATGTTAGTGTCATATGAACCATCTCGCACTCTGAGGAGCTCAGGACCGGCCTCCTGCTGGTGCCCAGAGTCAGAACTAAACAAGGGGAGTCAGCGTTTCAGGTTCATGCACTAAAACCTGGAACAGTCTTCCTGAAACTGAGACAGACCTCTTCTGTACGCTGTTTAAATCCAGACTCAAAACATTTCTGTTTAACTGTGCATATAACTGAAAGGTTTTCATTCCACACTCTTCTCTCCAATTTATGTCTCTCTTTTTTAATTTTTAATCTTCATGATTATTATGTTTTGATTTGTTTTTATTATGATTTTAATGTATTTCTTATTCTGTAAAGCACTTTGAATTACTTTGTGTACGAATTGTGCTATACAAATAAACTTGCCTTGCCTTGCCTTACTCCTGCCACTGCCACTACCACTGTCACTGCTACTACTACCACCACTACTACCACCACCACTACTATCACTACTACTACAACTACAACAGCAGTAGTAGCAGAAGTAGTAGTAGTAGTAG